CAAGGAGACTCTCAGCTCTATCCACTCATCATGATTGTAGTCCAAGGATCCTTCGAACTCATCAGTCAGTTGGGAAGGATCAACAAGCTTTGCCAGGCCTTCAACAGAAACCATACTTGTCTAACGTGAGAAAAAAAAAATACCTGAATTAGTTTTCATTGGCAAACCAGCAATAATGGTGGACTCTGCCCGTGACACAGATTACTTTCCTCACAATACATCTCTGAAATAATGTTGTCAAGAAGGCTGGGGCCTGTATTTAATTCTGACAAATTAAACCATATTTAACACTGTTATTTTCATTTAACCGCACTGCTTATTCTTTGAAAAGATCACTGGAATCATATCCATTTTTCTAGTTAAAATGACCATCCAAAACACATTGAGAGAGGCTTCTGCTGCAGATTCCTTTAACCTGAAGTGCATATTCTTACTGAGCATGAAAGTATTGTTACCACAGCCTTTGGCTATCCTGACGGGAATGTTCACTAAGTGGATAACATGAGATTACAATGAATTCTCTTATTTGTATTATATTCAGGTCAATAGTGCTATTGCGACAATAGTTTTAGGCATGTGAATAGAAGCAGGTACCCTTCCCTGCCAAAATATACAGCATACTGCTTCTTATTTTCTTTCAGATTATTCCAGTTGGCTTTTGGCACAGACAGATCTTTTTTACACTATTACTGTCTAATGCGATTGAGCCTAAATCAGTGTCATTGGAGTATTAATAACAAAAAATTGCTGTGAATAGAAAGAATCAGCTGTGAATCACACAAAAATCAATATGGGACAATACTCCCATTTATTGAAACTTGGCTAACTGAAATTAAATAAAGGCCTTTTCATAGTTTTCATAGATTTCATAGATTTTTCTAGTTAAAATGGAGTCCAACCCCCTGCCTTGGGCAGGAAAGAGTGCTGGGGTCAGATGACCGCAGCCAGGTGTTTGTCCAATCTTCTCTTAAATACCTCCAAGGAAGAGGACAGCACCACCTCCCTTGGAAGTGTATCCCATATTCTGGCAACCCTCACTGTAAATAATTTTTTCCTGATGTCCAATCTAAATTTGCTCTCCTTCAGGTTGTGGCCATTGGTTCTAGTTACCCCAATGGGCGCCCTGGTAAGCATCACATTCCCTATTTCCTGCTGTCCGCCCCCACCCAATGAGTTTGAAGACGGCCACAAGATCACCTCTCAGCCTTCTCTTGTGGAGGCTGAAGAGATTCAGGTCCATTGCTAAATCGGTCCTCATAGGGGTTTTACTGCAGGCCTTTAACCAGATGGGTGGCCCTCCTCTGAACCCTTTCCAGGTTATCTACATCCCTTTTGAAAAAGACTCAGAACTTTGTAGGAGTGAATGCCTCCATGCTGGATGGCAATTCACATTCATCTTGCACAAATATATATAGATATATATATTTTCTTTAACTACCAGCCTAGGTTTTCATTAATAACTGGAGATTTGGGGTGCCACCATTTTTGGTTACTCGGTTTAAGACACATGGCTGGATGTTCAAACAGTACTGCTCACCTAGACTCCTTAAAAAAAAAAATAAAAAAAATCAGGCCACTGAGCAGTATCTCAGTTTTGGGACCCAAATCACTGGAGGCACCCAAAGTCATAAAATAAGTGAAAATGTGGGTGATTTTCCTTTAAACCTTCAGCTGAAGCCAGACCCCACTTGAAGTTAGGGGAAGGCCATTATGCTGAATTCAAAGAAAGTAGCTACCCAATGGTAATTCCAGGATCTAAGTTAATAACAACCTGTTATTCCAGTTTCTTATGACCTCCTAAAATTACTTCTCATAATTCTGCAACATATAAAAATGGCCTTCTATTAAAAGACACGCTCAGATAATTATGAAAGCAAAGAAAGCAAAGCGCTGACTGGAGTAGTTGATTTAAAATCCTTTTGCAGTTCCTTCTTGGAAAAGGTTACTTGGTGGAAGAGAGGGGGAACAGGAAGACAATTTAAATATGCATTTAAAATTTTAGAACCTGTCAACCTGGACATTGACCCTTTCAGTGCTTAATATGATCATTCAATTGAGATTACAACTGCTCGTCAACAAATGCGCTTTATCGCTAATATGTAATATTCCAACCCCTGTTTGTTGAGCCCCTGCCACATACTCTTTCCCTTATCACAATTGCAGTTTTGACAAGATAATATGGCAGGACTTTTTTATTTAAGGAGTTCTGCACACCTATTTGTTATTTAGATTTGTTCCCTTTGAGAATTATTTTGAAATGAATATGAATACATTACCTAACTTCAGGAGGGATGGATGTGCTAAGACAAAGTAACCATCTATCTGCTCTTCTCTTTCTTTGAAAATGCAACCAATAAAAATAAAAAAAACACTGTCTGCTTATTCAACCACATCAGGAGGAAAGGAAAAATAATCTTCAAAACACCTCTGAATTAATGATAAGCAGGCTTCTTGGGCCATCCTTCACAATAACACAAAGTTGCTGGAGTCTGCATTAGTCAATCAAGTGTCTGCCTTGCTCACTAGCAGCTTAAGGGGAAATGAAGTCTTTAATGCAGAACTAGCTACAGCTGAGTTTCCTGACCCAAATCAAGATAATCAGCTCTCACCGAGGGATGGATTCCACCAAGCATTTCTTTTATTGAACACAAGGACATAACCTGCCCTTAAAACTGGTGCTAGTAGTTATTAGGCCAGATAGTCTGTGGAAAACCTGCATAGCTCCATGGATTTCTTGCATACCTTGCCCCAGATGAGGATGCTGGGTTTTACCATGGCAGTAAAAGCAGTAATATTATTTCTGCCCTCTGGATGGGCACAAACCCATACACACTGCTCCGTGCACATAAAATCACCTGGTCTAATAAATGCATGTTACTCCTAGCTCTATAAAAAGTGCACAGCTGTTAATATGAATAGCTTTTCTTTGCATGAATGGTGGATTTACATGAGGGTGGGAGCTGCACGGCTACCCAAGCCTACCTACCATTTTGCAACAGCAGCTCCGAAAGGAATTCACCAAGGGCACCCACATGTCCCTAAAGTGTCTGCAGGCAGAGAACAGGATGTAGGGCCACTTAGGAAACAAAAATCATCTTCATTTATGGCAGCCTGTACCATAAGCAAGCACCTAGTGGAACTAGGAATATTACTCCTTACACTGTCTCAGTGTAGTCAACCCAGCACCCTGAGAAATCATGAGCCAGACCTCTAAAATTTACAAGAGTGGCTTAAAATCATTAAATAACTTAAGAAAGAAAGAAAAGACATTTGCAGCTTTTTTGTTGTCCTTCTGGTCTTTGAAGCTTTAGGGCAATGTTGTCTGCTCCAGAGTTTTTAGGAGTGAGAAAGTGTCTAAGGCCCAATATCAACTTGAAATGTATATGCAAAAAGGGGTCTCTCTCTTGGTGGCTTGCAGGGAGACTCCTTATGCTCCACTTCCCTGCTGTGGTGGAGCTACAATACAATGTCCTTCATCTCCCACCCATCACTAACCTCTGCACCCATCCTGTCTCCTTTCTGCTCTCTAACATCCCCATTAGCCACTTTCCTGCAATCCCTAAACCTACCTCTGGTCCCCTGTACTCTGCTCCCTCTACTCGTCCCCTATAGCCTTCCCAGGGACTCTGCTACTCTCCACAGGGTCTGTGCCAGAATGGCATCTTGTTTAGGTCTCTGAACCATTCGGTGGTTGTAACTTTAGACTTACTGAGCACGTCTACATGTTCATTAATGCACCTTAGTTACTGTGCATTCAGTTTAATCTCTACGCTACTGCGCAGTATTATTAGGCTAATGCACAGTAAGCGTTTCGTGTAGATACGCCCACTAAGACTAGTAGCAGGTGGCATCCTCCTTTTTTTCAGGGCTGCCTCGCTTCCAGGGCAGAGTGCACAAGCTTGCATAGTGTATCTTGATGGCTTCAGCCCCACTGACAGCAATGGGAATGGCCACCTTTATAAATGAAGGAAAAATCCCAAATCAGCAGCCTTTCATCCTGTTTTCAAGAGAAAAGAGACGAAAGGAATTTCTTAAGAATGTGAGAGTTGTGATCAAAGTCATTACGAGTGGTAGCAGTAGGCTGCAGGTCAGGTGCCCACCGCTGTTCTTAAATACATGCTGAACAGTGAGAACCTGTTGAAGTTGCATTAACTTCAACAGATCTTTAAACGTGCTTACCTGTGCTGTTGAATAGCCGCGCTAAACCTACCCCCTCTGAATGACTATGGGCTAAATTCTATTCTGAGCTATGCTGATGTAAATTCAGAGCATCTCATGGAAGTCAGGGGGTTTACAGTAGAGTAAATACATGAGCCAAGTATGGGCCTTATCTTAGCCATGGGGTAGAAAACAAATGCAAACAAACTGCATAATGCATATAAGCTGATATACATATATTTTGCATACCAGAATTTTGATTCTGTTTGAGTAAGAAACTGGCATTCTTAGAGAAATCAAGAAGCCCTGGCTGAAGCTAAATGCTTTACCTCCACCATTGGGAAAGTTAATAAAATCCTCTCTAATTACAAAAGTGTTGCCTGTATTTTGTACCACTCAAAAAATCCGCTTAAAGCATTTTGTCATTAACATAGCTGGTGAAAAATTCAATGGTAAATCTTAATTAAAGTAATGAAAATAGTTAGATAAACCTTTATTCTAAACGCCTCAAATTAATGGAGCCATTAACTGAAATCTGTTAAAAGAGGCCTGAAAGATGAGCCCATGCAGTTTTGTGCTTTAAGTTTTATCTCTCTCTTAGAGTATCCCACCAATACACAAAAAAAATAGTTAAAGGGAAGAATGAAAGTAACATAGCCACAAAAAAGACCTGAACATAAATGTCCTGGATGTAACAGTGCCCTGGACAGAGGACTGCCTACAAGCCAAAGTTTTGCTGAGTTCTTGAAGATGCTGAAGTGGATTTCAGAGTAGAGGTGGTTTTCACCCTAAACCTGATTGGAGAAAATCCATTGCAAAAGATTTCCAATGTGGACTCTCACCTCAAAGATGAATTTGGAACTGCCAAAATTAGTTTTCTGCTTCTGCCAGAAGTTGTCAGGTTTGATGATCAGGGCAACATGAATCTCAGCAGGAAAGGCTTCCTGAAGGGTCTTCAGCAAAGGCTTGATCAAGTCCCATTTGGATCCCCGCATATCAATGATAACAGTGAATCCTCGTTTACAGACATCTTCACTGTAAGAATAAAAGCACAGCAGGATAATTAATATCGTCTACAGACACATTAAGATCCCACTTCTGTTGTTAGCATTCAACACTTTAATGCAAAGCATAGAATAACGTAATGCAAGGAATGGGATAATATAGGATAATGGTTATAAAGCGTCTTAAGAGTTTTACTGTAATCTAATATGAATTATATGAATAGTTACATTTGTATATTATCTCCTGAAAATATGCAATTCAAACAGGCATTAGAAATTTACATACTTTCCTGGGTTTGTATATAATTATATGTATACCAGCCAACTGCCTGTCAAGAATGACAGGGGGAGGAGCACCGCCACCCACCACCCCACACCACTGCTGCCTCCCAGGAACGGAGGGTCGGGGGGGAAAGCTTGCACATTGCGGCAGCCGCCGCTGCTACCCACTGTCTAGCACTGGTGCCACTCTGCATTTGGCTGCATGCCACCCGACCCCCACTCTGTGTCTGGTCCCCTGTGCCTCCCCCCACACCCTGCTGCTCAGTGTCCGGCCCTGCGCCAACACCCCCCCGCCCCGGCATCCAGGCCTGCGAGCCCCCCACTGCTCTGTGTCCACCCTGCATCCAAAGGTGGATTAATGTGTGCTGTGGCCCTGGGCAAACACAAAATTGGAAGCCCCCTCCCCCCACAGGAGCTGAGCTGGGGGGGGGGGGAAGAAGGCAGGGCACTTTCCTCTCCTGGTGCTGGCTGGGGAGACTGAGGGTACCCTGCCAGGCTGGGGGTGTGGGGGCACATGCCCATCTCTTCTCCCTGCTCCCTGCCCCCTTGTCCCGCTATGGCCAAACATACACACACACACAGATACGCACACAGTACTCTCACTCACTCTCTGCACATGGACACACAGACACAAACACACTCCTTCCTGCCATAAACACAGACACATGCACGCACACTCACGCATGCACGTGCACTGACACGTGTGCACACACACAGACATGCAGGCGGGCGCGCACTCTACTCACTCACCCTCTGCACACGGACACACAGACACAAACACACTCTCCCTGCCATGAACACAGACACACGCATGAACACTCATGCATGCACACGCAGTGACACACAAGCACACAGACACATGCAAGCACACATGCAGATGGGTTCATTCTCTAGTCACTCACTCTCTGCACATGGACACACAGACACAAACACACTTTCCCTGCCATGAACACAGATGCATGCATGCACAGGCACGCAAACACAGACGTATGCATGCACACATGCAGATGGGTATGCACTCTGTTCCCTCACTCTGCACATAGACGCACAGAGACAACAGTCTGCCTGCCATGAACAGTCTTCCATCCCACTCCGATGCCCATCACTCCCAACCCGCACACCCCTCCCCACTCCAATCCTTGCTGGTGCCTCCACTCCTGACCCGCAGCCCCCTGGCACCGTCAGTGCCCCACCCCCCACTCCCAACCCACTGTCCCCCACACTGCTGCCCCTCACTCCTGACCCACAACCCTCTGCCCCCCTAGCCCTGCCCATCCTGAAGCATTGTGGCTCTCATTCATGCAGGTGGCAGTGGAGCATGTCCAGCATGCTGAGGGGAGAGGAGGGGAGGCTTTTGGCCCCCCCTGCCCTGGGATAGGGCTGCAGTGTCCTGCGGGCAGCCTGGCCATGGCCCCCCTCCACCTACCCCCCTCCCCGGGCAGGGGCTCCTGGCTGCTCAGCCCCCGGAGCACAGAGCACGGGCCCCGGCACCTGCACTGATGCCTGGTCACAAAGCCCCACACTGGCCTCAAAGCCCCACTGCCCCTTTCCCCACTTGAGGGGCAGGCAACCCTCCCCTCCTCTTTTTCTCTGTGCTTCTGGATGAAAGATGGGAACAAGCAAGGACACTACCTTCTCCATGTTGAACACTGAGTTAACCTCAGCTCATCTTGTCCCTGCACTTTATAGAGGTCCCTCAGGGAAAGGACCACAAAGTTTTCCCATGGCCCCCACACAGCATTCAGGTTCTAAAAAAACCTCAACATTTAATTAAGAAAGGAAGTTTCTTCCTCTCTTAGCTGTAATGATAACTTTCCAACTATGAATCATGTTAAACTTATGGAGCTTCCAAATCTGCATAGGGCCCAAAACTCCCCCACTTCCCAGCAGCTTCACCGGCACATGAATTCTTAAAGTTCATTGACAACGCTTTAAAAATGTCAGTGTTTCCATATTGCATTATTGATCATTTTCCCTGGGAGTAAAGCACATGGGTGCGTGGTATGTGGGAGATGTTGTAGGGAAGGAAATGCAGCAAGAAGAAACCGTACAGAAAAGGAAGAAAGAAAGAAAGATACAAAAATAGAAAGCGGGGAAGGTAGAGATCCAAAGGGCAGAAAAAAATTAGATGGTCTTAAAGTTGAGCATCTTTTTTCATGGAGTGATGGTGAATGCAACACTGGGGGCAGGACAAGTAAGCAATGATCACTAAAAGCTCAGTAACTACGTACTGATTTCACCTTTGATTTCTGTGCCTACAGCAGAAGAAATGCTGCAAACTCAAGAAATGCAAATTCTAGCCCATGGACCACCATTTCAATGGAATATAATATCCAGTCCTTTTCAATACCTTTATCAATGATTTGGATGAGGGGGTGAGGAGTTCCTTGGCCAAGTTTGTGGATGACACCAAACTATGGGGAAGCATGGTCACACTTGAAAATAGGCTGCAGATACAGGCGGACCTACACAGGCTGGCAAGTTGGGCAGACTGGAATCAGATGAAGTTCAATGTCGAGAAATGTGAAGTGCTCCACCTTGGGACGAGCAACCCCCAACACACCTACAGGCTTGGCAGCACCAAACTGACCAGCCCCACAAATGAAAGGGACTGGGGTGTAATAACAGACCACAGTATGAATATGAGCCAGCAGTGTGACGTTGTGGCCATCAGGGCAAATAATACCCTGGCATGCATCAATCGATGCATCTCCAGCTAAACTAGGGAGGTGATTCTTCCACTGAGACCACAGCTGGAGGACTGCGTCCAGTTCTGGGCACCGCACTTCAAACAAGGACATGGTAAAGCTCAAGAAAGTCCAGAGAAGGGCCACCCATATGATCAGAGATTGGCACAGCAAGCCATACGGAGAAAGGCTGAGGACCTGGGACTCTTCAGCCTGAAGAAGAGAAGGTTGGGAGGGGGCTTGATAGCGACTTACCGCTACATCCGGGGCATACATCAAGGGCTTGGTGAACAACTGTTCACCCTTGGGGAAAACCAGGAGTAATGGTCACAAACTCCTGGAAGACCATGTCAGGCTCAACATTAGAAAAATCTAGACAGCTAGGGTGTCCAGACTGTGGATTGGCTCTCTCCAGAGGTGGTGCAATCGCCTGCCCTGGAAATCTTCAAGAAGAGACTGGACGGTCACCTTGCTAGGATCACTTGACTCCCAGTCATCTTTCCTCCCTGGTGCAGAGTGCTGGACCCAATGATCTGAGGTTCCTTCCAGCCTCTTACTGTCTATGAATTTATGAATCCCAGGTTAGACTAAGGACAGGTGTTTTAAAATGGTTGTACACATTGGTGTTACAATGCATATTCAGAAAGGGTCTCAACAGTAGCACATCTTACACTTAGACCCCATCACACACTCCCACTGTACATGAACTGCCTAATCTTCATATATACCAGGGTTCCTCTTCACTACTTTGGTGATACAAAAGGCCTGGTGATATAAAAGGTAGAAGGCTGCAAAGAAAACTTCCTGCGACTAACAATCAGGTTCCATCTACTTCACTGATGTGCTTATACAAAGATCATCTCCGAATTTTGTGGTTGGAAGAGGACCAATCTACAAAACAGACACTGAACTTGAACTAAAATGGGCTCATGAACTAGAACGAACACAACATGCAAAGTTCCTACTTGCTTTTGGTTACACTCATGGTTTCCAGGCATAACGATACCATTCAGGATGACATGTGAGAACAACAGACAGGATGCTACCAGAGATAAAGTGTTTTGCTTACTTTAAAACCCCACCTATATTACTAAGAATAAATGGCATTGGTGACCATGGATGGATCTAGGATTTTGTAAAGCGGGGTGTGGGAGCAGGGATCGGCACTGCAAGGGAGGATGCACCCCCCTGCCCCCACTGCTGCAAGCAGACCTCCCCATCCTAGGATTTTTTTTTAAGTCTGAACATCAGGTAAGAATCATGCCCCTGGCTCTTGGTACATCTTCCCCTCCCCTGCTCACCAGCTCCAGTGTCCCCACCGTTTCCAGCTGACCTGCGGACAGGGGAAGCTCTAGAGCCAATCTTGCCCTGCTCTGACCAGGCCGTGCAGGGGCCAAGCTCAGCTGGAGCAGCCCCCAGGGTGGAAGCAACACGGGGACTCCTTTTCCCTGCCTGACTCCCTGGTTTTTTCTCCACCAGCCTGGGAGCAGGCTCAGGGAGGGGGAACCTGCCCAACACCACTGCTGCTGTCCCCAGCTGAGCCAGCCTCCATGCAGCCTGGCTAGAGCAGGGCAGGAGCAGCTGTGGAGCTCCCTCTGCCCCTAGGTCAGCTGAAGACAGCAAGAACAGAAGCTGTGGAGAGTAAAATAGGGGGCTGGGTGCCAGGAGCATTGAGCAGGAGAAATACTGCTCTACGGACTTAAAAGAAAATCCCCAGCTGCTGCTCCCGCAACATGGTCTGGAAAGGGACTGCCACCATGTCACTGCACTCCCACTGGATCTGCCCCTCTTCCTGACCTCAGGAGAAGCACACTAACAGAGTTCACCATAATGCTCTTTGAGCAGCTTTTAAGGTTACAGTTAGCATGGAAAATAAGGAAGAAAAACAAAAATACACAATACACAGAACTGCCCAGTTATAATTGTATGCTAGCAAGAAGCTAGTGCTGTCAAAGCAGACAAGCAGAATCAGCTGCCTTAATACTGCTGATGCATCCAGAACAAGCTGCATTAAAATGGTGAGCCCAAAAGCAAAACTAGAGGGACCAGATATTTCCAGACT